TGTAGATCAGAATTTTAAATTTTAAAATACTAATTTATATTGATATTGATATTGATATTGATATTGATATCAGCGAGGTACATTTAATTAGGAATAAAATCTGATATATGTTGATAGGGATATCAACGGGGAAATTTACATATGGGGAAATCCGTTCTGTAACCACTGTTGCTAATAGAGAGAGGACGGGGTGGATATTAGATAGTGTTCACTGCATTAAAATTGAGAAAAAGGTTTAGCTTTCTTAGGCCAAATTGAACAATCGACATATCGAGTTTGCATGTGTAACAATTTTAAAAATTATTATTCAGAACTCAACTCCACTAATCCCATAGCAGCAGCCAAAAGGACTGGTTTTCCTTACATATTTATAGTTAAATTTAATTATACTCTATATAACTTTTATGTACACCAATTCACCCCGCGGTAATGTGTATACACATTTACACCCTGTACTACTTTACATATGACAATTGGACAATATATCCTGTAAGTAAATGCTAAGTAAATATGCAGGATATTTATGACAATTCTATAATTTAACCGCCATTAATGCTTCATATCACACACTGTTCAAACTATTCATGGTTAAATAGTTTCAATAATCTAATTTTGAATATATCATAATAACTTGGAGAGGAATGGAATTCAATTTTTACAGTTGTTTTTTTTTTAACCTCATTTCAAACCAAAAATCTTAAAAAATAATCTGTTTCAGTGTCTTTTCTAAAGCTATTTTTTCTGCATGTTCAATATTATTATCACTGAAATCCAAACTTGTCAGGGAGGAATTTATGCTCAAAGCTTTTGCCAAAGCTGTTGCTCCTGCATCCTTAATTAGATTACCACTTATATTTAAAGACATCAGAGAAGAATTTGATTCCAGAGCTTGTGCCAATGCTGTTGCTCCTATATCACCAAACTTGTTGTAAGAAAGATTCAAAACTTTCAAAGATAAATTTAATTTTAAGGCTTTTGCTACAGCCATCACACCTGCATCTTCAATCTTGTTATCTTGTAGATTTAAAAAAGACAAGGATGAATTTGACTCTAAGGTTTTTGCCAAAGCTGTTGCTCCTTTATCTCTAATTAGATTATACTTGAGATCCAAAGAAGTAACAAAAGTATTTGATTCCAGTGCCTTTGCCAAAATTGTTGCTCCTGTATCTCCAATATTACTATTACCAATATTTAAAGAAGACAGAGAAGAATTTGATTTTAAAGTTTTTGCCAAAGCTGTTGCTCCTGTTTCTCTAATCTGATAACCACCAAGATTCAAAAAAGTCAGAGACACATTTGATTCTAGAGCTTGGATCAAGGCTGCTGCTCCTATATCTCTAATATTATTTCCATATAAATTCAAAGAAGTCAGAGAGGAATTTGACTCTAAAGCCTTGGCCAATGCTGTTGCTCCTGTATCTCCAAGGTTATTACCATCCAAATGCAAGCGAGTCAAAGAGACATTTGATTCTAGAGCCTTAGCTAATGCTGTTGCTCCTATATCTCCAATTTCATTATGTTTCAGATTCAATAAAATCAGGGAGACATTTGATGCTAGAGCTTTAGCCAATGCTGTTGCCCCAGTATCCCCAATCTTATTAGTCCCAAGATCTAGACAAGTCAAAGAGAAATTCGTTTCAAGAGCCTTTGCTAAGGCTATTGCTCCTACATCTCCAATCATATTATGTGAAAGAGTCAATGAAGACAGAAAAGGATTCAATTCAAGAACAGTTGCCATAGCAGTTGCACCTCTGTCCTTGATATTGTGACTAGTCAGATCCAACTTCTCACATGAATCTGAGTCTTGACTCTGTATGTGAAAGCGATTAAATAATGCCTCTAATTGTTTATAAGCCGTTTTATTGGGGACGATATTCAAAAGTTTACTTATATCATTCAATGTAATATTTTGCGTGTCTTTATTATTCGGTTCGATTTCCGGTAATCTATTTGGGCCTTCTAAATGGATTATACCTGAACTGTTGCAGGAATCTTTGTCTTTGTTCATGATATTATTCTCAACGTTATAATACACCACTGAGACGTTTTCAAGGAACGAACTGACTACGACTCCGTTTATATTCATTGTTTGGCTTTGTTTGTGCTACAAATGGTCTGTACACCAAAGAAACCGGTTCAGACTTTGGGGGGTGTCTAACTAATATAATTCGGTGAACTTGTATAGAAGAAAAGGTTCGGCAGACGTATGGTCTTCCTAGTTATGTTACAAAGGGTTCAGAAATGCAGGTGTTTCCGAGTTAGTACTGGACGGCATGTACGATGGGTCATCATGAATAAAAAATTTTTAGTTTGCCATGACATTGAGAGACTGTTTTTGGTCAAAAATACCCCTGAGTTGTTGTTGATCCTAAACCAACGTTTGTTTCAAACTGGATCGAATAATATTAATTGATGACGCCATAAGCTACATGTTGACCCTATCTGGTTGAAAAAAGCCATCGTGTTTAAAAAGCCTTTTTTTTACAATGTATTTGAAATTTGGTCTAATTCATTTAAGCAATAATTCAACAATGACGGCCGACAAAATTTGTACTTATGAAGTAAGTGGTAATTACGACGAAGCATGTTGATTGCGATACGGTAGAAAAGAGTGACATTCATGGCTCCTTATCCTTGATATCACTGACTGTGATTACTGCTAGCGTTAATAAAAGTTGCATAAATTATATCGAATTTTTCTGCATGCATGTATTATATTATAGTTTACATTTGTTATAACCATAAGCAAGGCTCTATGACAGTTTGGCACATTTTCCATTGTTTCTACTCACGGATGTGTGTAAATAATTTTTCCAGCCTCGCTTTTTTTTTAATTGGTTGTTTTACTAAATTATTTAAAGCCAATTTTTGCGTAACAAGAAGAATGTATATATACATACAATATATCATCTCCTTAAAATGATAAATTCTCAAACTAATTTAACGCCTTGGTTTTGTAAAGATTGGTAGTTTTTACAAAGTCATTAAAATGACGAAGCGTTCAATAATTTGGCACATTGTTATGTAAACAAAGATAAATGTGGTGAAAACATTCTTTGTAAATTTTTTCATATGATAGGTGAGTATCGAATGTTTACACGCCAATGTGTGACACAAAGAGTGACCATCATATGTTAAGACACTGTCGTTGTTGTTCTAACTTTCTTATTCAAGGTATATAACAGATACGCTAGAGAGATTATCTGTGGTTGTGATCGAATCCATGTAAGGGTCTAAAATAAATAGCATGATCTGGTTTACAGGCAGTGCAAATTTGGAAATGTAACGCCCACTATTATAATTACGTCGTTTCATATAATGTGCAACATTGATTTGCTCCAAGTTTCTATTTTAAGAGCGGATTATGTCACATGCTGACATTTCGATGACCTAATTAGTAAATGAGTAAATGCAACCGGTACATGCATATATTGTGTAATCCTCCTGGTCTGACTGAAATCATCATGTGACAATACTTTAGAAGTTGATTTAACTTTACTGAAATAACCATGCCTTCTTAAACCAGTTTTTGTGACGTATACCATGCATATAATTTAACTATTTATGTATTAAACCGTTTATTAGATAGTATAATTCAACCCCTTTTAATAAAAGGAAGCAATTTAAAAAATCCACAGAGTGATAGCCCATACGATTTACCATAACTCAAGCCTTGTGATCGACACGATAATTTATGTGCCAAGATATAACATTTACCTTTCAATTATACTGAAAATTATATTTGATGTAAATTTAACGCTATAGTTCAATTTAGTTTTTATTATTACTTCTCTACTTTATATTTTATATTTTGTTTCACAAACTTTTATGGTGAAATTCATTGATTCGCTATAACTTTTTGTGTATATGACGTCTCAAAAATGTAACCCATTCTAGCAGGAATTTTCAAAACCGTTATTATAACGCTGTGTTTAAATGAAATACCGCATGCTTACTATCAGTATTAAATTGGTTATCACGAATTAATTTAGAGCAGCAGATTACATTAGCTTACTTACCGAACATTAATTTTAGCTTGCTTCCAAGTCTTTCTCTCGCTATGTTGACTCAGTTTCCCAAATTCTGTCAAAATTGTTAACGTTATGTTGTTGTTTTTTGTTCTGTAAATGAAGCATACTTGCGACGACTCCAAGTTTTTAATAACCTATAACGCCTTTTTATAAATAGTTGATCATAGTAAGTTTAAACTCTCTGTTCTTCATAATCACTAATGTGAGATAAAAATGTTGGCATTTAGATATCGGTTATAGGTAGTTAAATAATAGTAATAGAAGATATAATTTAGCCTGCAAAAAAGCCAACAGAAAATAATTACCTGCTAACTTTTTATTATCGCCGAGATTGTGCTTACTTCTAATGCTCGACAGCAGTATCCTTGCATAAGTAGCCATAAATATTACACACACAACAAATAACAGTTTGAGTGTGCATCTTGAATTAGTCATAGTGCCGAAGCCCAAAGCCAATTCTGCTCTTTGAACTCACCAATAGGATTTGGCGGCGGTTTGACAAACGTAAAGTATACGTATATGGTGTGGTGAAACTTTCCATTTGTGAGTAAACGAGATAATTCGCATTTTAAAATGCAATTAAACCTTTTACTGTAATTATGCAGGGTGCAGTAATTATGTAAGCTTTAGTAGTTGATGCGGATATTGGACATTGATTAGTAGATTGATAAAAAATGCACTATTAGGCAAGACCGTTGATAGTGCTATTGTCTCACTACTATGCATGCGAGATGATTTTTCTTGTACAATCGTCAAGAGCAGCCACGTTAGCTTATACTGTAAACAAGTGTTGTTGTTATACAATTGCAATAACTTGCTCATTATGCATTAAGTTTACGTTGAAAAGGCATTTTCTATTGACATTTCTTGGTGCAATCTAAAACGGTGCAAACTTTTTCGTTACCTTCTCTAATAATGACCAATATAATAATCAATTCCAACAATCAGGCAAGCTGTTAACACCGACCGTAGCTATCCATTTAGTTCAGATAGTTACACGTGCGTTGGTTGTTTGTTTATATTTATCTCCTAACAGATGCAAGACTCCTCTAACGATTATTTGGGTATCCAATAAATCGTACTATCAGATATAATGACGTAATTAAGAGTTACACATAAGTTATGTCATACATGTACAGAGCCATAATTAATTGGGTATAAAACTTCTATGGATTTGCAAGATTCCGAGATAACGAAGATCATAACTTTTATCAACATCATTGCAGAATACTTACACTGAGCGAAAACCTTGTTGACATAGTGTAAACAATGGATAAAAAAAAAGCAAACTCATGACCATCATTAAATGGCTGCACATTATCAAGATTTACGCCCACCTGCGTACGTCATTGTAAGACCTGTTGGGAAACTTGATATTTCTATTCTATCACAAAATTTGATGCTTGATACTTGATAAGATGGTTGAGACCAATACTCAATGAATAAATTTAATAGATAACAGTATGTTGATATAGTAGGAGCATACATGGTGTCTACGATAAGCCCCAATACTCTTGATTATTTTTATTTCACAATGTTGCCCCTAAATTTATACCACATTAGAAGCATTGAAACAGCATGTTCTATTAACAGCAAACAAAATATGGTTAGCAAGATAAAGAGATACTATAGGCAACAAACGTTGGAGTAAAGTTATGCAAACTACTGGCTAATGTAGCTTTAATATTCTTTAGAGCGTTTGGAACTTTGATTATTTATTAGTTTATATCAAGCGAACAAGCTATCTCATAATTTTCTTTATGAATTTGTGTGACTAGACAAATTTATTAATTTGCAACATTTTTATCTATAGCAACAAATAAAACAAATTTTAGCATTATAATAAATACTATTATGAGTGTACACATATACTGTATACTATATATACACAACGGTAATGTAATACGATTTGTTTATACGTCGTATGAAATGATAGTTGTGCTATCCTTACAGCAATTCTAAATCAAAGGTAATTGTTTTCGTAAAAATAGTACTTTGGCTACAACATATACACTGCTATTAAAATTAGTAATTTAAACTTAACAGTTTGCAATCAATAGTTTGTGGGTGTCGTTGTTTAGGGCGCATTTTATTGGAGAAATTTTAAACTTTCTAAAGACAACAAGTTCTTAAATTAATATTATTAAATATTTCAAACTGGAGGTGGCAATTTTAATCTGTTTAAAAAAAAACTAAAAGCGCGACTCTGACGAAATA